AGTTTTAAATCCTCATAGGGATGTGACAGTCTTCCCTTTCCGATACTATTAACTATGTTGTAGATAGTTATTTTTTAATTTGATACTCCGTGAGCTTTGAACCTCTTTCGACTTTGCAATTCAAATATTCTTTCCTCGGAAAGAGCTGTGACATATGTAAGAAGCCACAATCTACATCTGGCAACATTACATTGTCCAATGGTAAAGAAGTCACCATGAATCAAATATACAAGCACTAAGTATGTTTTCTGTGAAATCATGTGCAGTGTCACACTACTACGCGAACTTATCTAAATCCGTCTAGTAAACTGTGATTACCTTCAGAATTTGGATTTTTGTTTGAATCTTTTCACACTTGGTTTTTCCCAATTGATATTTTTTTCAATCTATATGTTTTCAATTTTTTCCTTGTCAATTCTAATTTATTTGTGTTTTCGTTATTCATACTGGGATGAGTATTAATAGCATGGTTAGTGAGTCAGTTTGCAGTTCAATGGTTCCAAAGTTCCCAATATGATGTCACTTTAAAATGATCTGCACTTTCACTTTTGGGCATGTTGTAGAAGCTATAGGGTCAATCACTTAATTCATTTCAAAGAGCCAGACAAAATCCTTGTAGTGATGTTGATGGCTGTCTGTCTTCCTTCTGGTCAGTAGCTCAAAACAAGGGATGTATTTACTTGAAACCTATGGGTCTCTGACGTGGCCGTTTGCATACGGTGCCATTCAGACTGAATATTTCAACTCCAATTTTATTTTTTTTATTGAGACATTTTTCCATTTTTACGTTTTGTTCAACCCTTTTTTGGTGTTTATCCATATTTGGTTCTTCAAGAAGTTTAAAGGATACATTAAATAAAGTGATCACTGCCCTAAATAAATGTCGCATCTTTGTTTTTTCTTTTGATTGGCGTTCACGTAGCTCTAATATAAGGTATATTTTAGATTCTATAGGTTTTTGAAATATTATTTATTCATTAGTATTAAAACACTAAAGCTTTCCAGAAGTTTATATTTTTAATTGTTGTTGTTAAGCACACAAAGAGCTATCTGTGTTCTACCTATCGCGGGTATCGAAACCAATTTTTGACGTTATAAGCCCTCATTTAGGGGTGTTTAAAAATATAATCGTACTATCTAAACGAATGTACCATTAAAATTTCACGATTCATTTGGTTGTAGTTAAGCACAGAGCTACAAAATAGTCTATCTGTCCCGTGCCCATCATGGGTTTCGAAATCCGGTTTCTAGCGTTATAATTCCGCAGACTTTTCGCTGTGCCACTAGGAGGCAAAATGTCATGAATGTGCGGTAAGATGAAAACTTAAAAGTGTTTATTATTTTCAAACGATAATTGCATAAAAATGACATTTTTACATATTACTCTTAAAATAGTCTATATTGTTAACTTTATTACCATGTTAATGTATAACGTGGCCCGGTATGGCCTGGTGATTAGGGCGCTCGACTCGCAATCTGAGAGTTGCGGGTTCGTCCTTTCAGCTGGGGGGGGGGGGTATAATGTGTCGGTCAATTCCACTATTCGTTGGTGAAAGAGTACCCCAAGAGTTGGCGGTGGATGGTGATGACTACTTGCCTTCCCTTTAACCGTTCACTGCTAAATTCGGGACGGCTAGCGCAGATAGCCCTTGTGTAGCTTTGCGCGAAATTCAAGACAAACAATTTATAACATTACTAATATCTACGAAAGTATAATGAATATCTCAACTTAAGATTTTGACATTTATTCAGGAACAAATTTGAAACTTCGTTAATGTTTTTTTAATAGAAGACAATTGGAAGGGATTTTTGGAAAGATGAAATGTCCAGTAAGTAATAACTGGGAGAGAAATAACACAGAAAAAATCACTAAAGTTTAGTTTAGAATTTCATTACCGACAGGGCCTGAACTGTATTTTTTTCTAAGCTTAATAACCACTTCCTATTTTAAGGAAAAAAGTAAATAAACGATCCCATCTATATATAGAATTACTTGACCACTTTTGGAGATTTCACTCGTTAAATCAAACATATAAAGTATGATTTATTTGTAAATGTGATTTTAGATTAAGTGTTTTTTATTTTTAATTCCTTTATTCCACTCAAGTAATTTCTATTAAAAATCATTCAATCATTATTCTGTGTTAATCAGCAGACACATGTTCATTTGGATTTTTTTTTTGCCACCAAATTTGTGCATGCCATCTGAATGCTACACAGTAAAGCCCGAACGTCGCTATCTGTATGAGAAGGAGCAATATTGCGCAGAAGTTCATAGATGCGTAAATGTATGATGTAATTTTATCCTCATTGTCTGATTCCTACGGCACTTACGTCAACATCACGCAGACAAAGGAGAAAAGCTGACGTGTGAATATTTGTATTACATACACTAGAAATTTATAGTCGTCATAAAACAGTAAGTCGGCGGATTGTAGCGTCATTGGCTAGGCAATGACACAGTGGTTTGACAAAAAAACTACAACCAAACTATAAAAAAATTCTAAATTATGACTTTTTGTGACAGATATTTAATAATTGTCTTGCAAACTATATCTCACTCAAAGCTGTAGCTACCGTAGTTATTCACAGTAATTGTAGATAGATAGCTGCAATTTATAGTTCATCGTAATAACGAATGCAAAGAATCTTTTCAACCTTCAGTAACGCAAAATAATATTAAAATGTACCAGAAAGAAATACATTTCTCGATATCGCGCGTATTTTCCAATGTATGTTATTGCTTCTTCTAAAACCGTTCTAATGCGCCAAATACGTAAAACATACAGACGACTTTTTGATTCACTGGCTCGTGTTGAAACAAAACTCAAAAGGCGTAGACAAAAAGGAAAGACCGCTCTGCGCAACCACTTAAATACTAGAATAATTCCATCTTACTGGCTAGTGAAGTGGAGAACCACAGCAACGAGATCCCCTAAGTTTTCGGAATAATATTGAGTCATATGTTTGAACTGAAACAAAATCAGAAGCTGGTGTTGAGAAAGTATATATGTGTGTGTATGAGTATGTGTTTATGCAAGAGCTTGTGTAAAAGGCTTAAGCTGAGCATTTCAAAATCAATTACTCCATAATGTGATCAAATGGAACAACCTTTGCTGACTTCTGTGGTCAAGATTTCATCATGCTGACTTTAACAAATCAGGAATGCTTTTAAACGATTTTAAATTTATAATATTTTGAGTTAAGTTTAATAGCTAAAATTATTGCTCTAAAGAAAAATATAACTTTAACTTATAAACTCTTTTGCCGAGTTTCAAACAATATTACCAGTAGTAATAATTAACATTTCCTTGGAAATAATCAAATATAATTTTAATTCAAAATAAGTGTTTCAAAAATATAAGCCTTTGATATTTTAGGTGTTCAAATATAAAGTGATAAAAAGTAGAATTACGTCACAAAAACTACAGAATGTATGCATTGCATAAAACATCATACAGGTCATCACGATCAATATGGTTACTGCACTACTACGAGTTTACACTTTACGTAATATCTAATTTGTTTTTTAGATAAGGGTTATCTGTCTTTAAAACGTTTAATAAAATAAATTGCATATATATTTTCATTCTTTTTTTATTGATCCAAAACAGGAACACTCTAAACGGGATTCTTCAAACTGACCTGAATTATTCTTTTAACAGCTAAAAATATGTACTATATGATATTATATGTGTTAATTCTAAATCTTAAATGCCATATTTAATAGATGTATTATAACAATTAAACAAAACGTATTGTGAATGAAATTTCTAGAGTTCGAGAATTTCTGGAGTCAAATAAATTGTGGCAAAATGGTCTACAAAATCTGAATTTTCTTTAATAACGTCAAGAAAAAATATCAAGTTTGGACTATATACCACGACTTTCTTGGTATATAAATTGCTTGAATTTGCCCCCTAGTGGCTCAGCGGTATGTATGAGACTTACAATGCTAAAACCCGGATTTCGATACTCGTGGTGGGCACAGCACAGATAGCCTATTGTGTAACTGTGCGCTTAACAACAAACAAATAAACGAACCTTTGTGTTTTGTGTGTGTGCGTGTATATATATATATATGTATACAATGTATGTATGTGTCTATATCTATATACAGTGTATGTATTGGTATGTGTGTGTGTGTGTATATAGACAATATACGTATGAGTACGTATATATATATATATAAAGAAGCTTCTCGCCTAATAAAAAAGCATTTGTTTGAAACGTCGCCAAGAAAATAAATATATATATATAATTAAATATTTTTTAAGACGGTTTACCTCCAAAAGTCTAATTGAACGTGTACAAATGTATTAGCCAATAAACAAATACAGTTCCTGGCAAACATTGTTTGGGCATGCACTATACATTTTTTTTCTTTAGTGGAACATGAGTTAAAAACAGGTTGCAATGATCCAATTTTAAAAATAGCTCAGAGAACACCTTTCTCGACATTGTTAGAATGTATGTATGGAGGAAGTCGCCCCGCAAATAAGCCTTCAACACCATTTTCAACCTCTTCTTCACGATCGCATTCTTAGTACTAAAAATAGTTTATTTGATATAATTTTCCATCATGGCATTTCTCGATTTGATGTTTAATCCCCTTTACAGAAAACAAAACAAAACAAGAAATATCCAAGATCACTTGATTTCATAGTATATAACGTGATATTTTGATTAAGTTGCACTTAATAAGCAGGACCAGTACCATTTGGATTTACCATAATTATTTTAGTTTGTCAGCCCCATACATGTAATAGTTAGTAAAGTACTCTGGATATTTTTTAACTTGAAGGCAGATTTAATGCTTTATTACTAGCTTGTGAATTCGGGAAAATATATATGCTAAACCGCATAAGATAGTAATAGTTGTACAGCTTAATAATAAATAATCGTTGTTCGGACTTTACACCCACTCTCGTATTAAGCAATATAAAATATTATGACGAAATATATGTGCAATAGAGGGCGCAATTTGGAGAGCTTCTACAGCACTAGCAACGCTAGAAACAGACGGGATAGCTGCTGAAGAGCGAGGAGATAAGAATATAAATTCGTCTTTTGGAGAGAAGGATATATATATAGTTAATGTAACCCGGGTCTACCGCTACCTCAGATCACCTCAGTTAACCAAGGCTTTGTTCAAGTCGTTCTTATAATTTTATTTTACTCCAACTAAATATCCCAGTCAACAATGTCAAAAGTACCGTACGCATTCTTAAAACGACTGAAATTGAAGAATCAGACTGCAAGAGAGTTTCTTGGAGAGTTTCTTGGGACCATGATTCTAATTGTAAGTTTGAATAATTATGGTTTATTAGCTTTTACATAGAATATTTTACCGTTTTTAATTGAACTAATAATATAGTTAATATATATAATTATACAACAAGTAGTATAGAAACAAAGCCGCCAATTATATATATACATATAAATCCATAACTATTTTTATTTAGATAACTAACCTGCTTATAAGTATCATTATTATTGGAATTATACCATGGAAGATCAAAACAAGGACTAAGTCAGTGAACATTGTACGGATTGATTCACATAACATCCATGTTTTGTAGAAGTAAAATCAATAGAATATCGTCCTAAAACATTTTAAGCTCAGACATTCATAGTACGCGTAGTATTTTTAGGTGTATTTTGCATATGTTTTTAATGCCATGGTACATTAAGTTTTAATGAAGAACAGTATGATGATGACTCAAGTGATGTTGGTCACGTACGCCGCGAGAGCAATCCTTATTCTTTTGCTGATTGATTGCTGGAAACCAGACATTCAAAAACGATGGTCTTACTTCATCAAGGAGTATTAACGTAAGAAGGATTCGACGAACTTTAGATTTCTCAGTAGCGAATGCACAGAAACTAGCTTATATTAAGTCTCTTTTCTAAGAACCCGAATGAGAAAGAGTCTTAACACCAGTTCCGAACCAGTAAACAATTAAATCTTGTTAATTTTCCTCTTAGTGAGTGTGTGTGCGCTATGTCACAGGCTATTCCATCTTCAATTTGATTTTGTACTCATACTCTTGGATATCCTATTTCTAATTTTCTGTGTAAATGATACAGTCTTTTTAACCGATTTATAATTAACTTATTGATGTACAAAATATTTTAATTCCTCAAGATCTAACAACAAAAGGTTTTAAGTAACTGTTCCACATACTGAATTTGTTATGTAACTGTCCCTATAGTGACCTTTATTGGGTAACTGTTCTTATAGTGACTTTTATTGGGTAACTGTTCTTACAGTGACTTTTATTGTGATTTTTAGGTATACTGTTCCATATAGTGACTTTAAATGAGCTATTTTGTGTGACTAATATTTCAATTAATTGGTACTACCAAAAACTTGACAGTTTGGGGTATTATGTTTTATATTACTTGATACTTAACAATTGGATTTTATCAACAAGTAAATTCTGTTGACAAATTACTTCATCTATTTTAGAAATACCTTCAAACTATTTATTAAATGTATCAATTCATAAGTAAATTTTCAAGTATAAGCCAATATTTTACGAAAAGTAGCAATACAGATTAAATATATTGTAAATGCAAAGTTTACTGTTACAAAGCTATTAGAATTTTCTTAAGCTACCTTTCTTATATTTAGAAATACATATCTATATATGTACTTGTAAAAGTAAACAAAATTGTTTGTTTGTCAGCAAACTACTTCGTGGTCCTTGGATCCATCTCAAATAAACTTGGTAGGATGATACATTAAACCAAGGAGCATGTCATAGAATGGTTACTACCCAACTTCGCTTACTCTGGGCCACGACCAGAGCAATACTATGTTTGTTTAGCTAATGACACCACAGTCTTGGACAAAATTTAATCCTAAACTTTTGAATTTGAATTTTTTTTGGGGTATTTGCTTTTGAATTATTTTGGAAAATTTTGAGTTTCTTCATTAAAAATGTCAAACAGTCACATTTTTGCCAGGAAAAATGGCAACCAGAGTACAAGATGAGACCCTTAATTAAAGTGGCAGGGCTACATTTGAAAATTCCTTGCTTTTCACATGGTCATTTCTATGTTGGACGTTCAAGAGTGTGATCGCCAATCTCGTTATTTTGGCCTAGGAACTTTTAATGTGATTTATCAAGAAGCACCCAGAGTATCAAGAAACACTGAGGCTGTAGAGAGGGATTAATAAAAGCAATAAAGGGAAATAAATTAAAGTAATTGTAACACCATTTCTGTGATATGGAACAAAGTAAGTGTGAATATAGTAAGTGTGTAATAAAGTAGGTTTGAATAACGTAGGTGTAAAATAAAGTAGTTGTAAATTAAATTATGTGGAATAATTTTGGAATATAAATATAAGTTCTTGATTTAATTAAGTAGTTCAAGCTCTACACTCAATACTTATGCCCCTGGACGTAGACGGATGCCTCAGCTTGTATATATATATATATATATACATATATTTACATACACGTGTATTTGACATCATATGAGTACAGTTATTTTCAGGAATAAGTATTAGACATTTTTTGTTTACAAAATCTAGAAAGATAAGAAAATACACGTATAAGATAATAGGTAGTTTACATATGCCTCGTTCTCGCGAAAAAACGACGCTTTGAAAAACGAGGTTCAGTTAACAAACACAATGTACAGGAGTAAGTGAGCGTGTTGGATATACAGGGAGCTAGACGAGAAGGAACTGTCCCTGTCTGCTGCATTATCGATTTATGGCGGAAGTTAAAGCAGACACGCCTACCCTTGCTTTTCTGTTACTGGCATAAAATAAGTTTGCAAACTTGTATATATGATTTATCTATATATATTATTTATTTAAAGAGGATGTGGTAATTAAACTCTAATTAAAACAATTTCTTCAGAAAATTGTCTAGAATATTTATCCCATAGTTTCTGAGAAGTAAACCAGTTTGTATTATAAAGTTACACTGTGTGATCAGACTATATATAGATGTTGTTACTAGTTGTTTTTTTACGAACACATTATATTTATAAGGCTTTCTTGTTATTTCTGATATTTTAATATTTATCTTGGAATTATAAATACAAGTGTTGGTGTAGAGTATTGGCATAAAGTTGGAAAGAATATTGTGAATCAGAGAATAATAAATGCGTTGAAGTTAATTCAATTTGATCAAAGAGAAGCCCAGAGTTAGTTCATACTCTTGTTGTTTCTAAGCTGATTCAGTAGATGTAATAATAGTTTTTTGCTGGAAATTTAATGTATTATAGTTTTTACTAATTTTTTAGGGTAGTGAGTGGCGTGATTTTCCCACTACAGACACAAAGAGATTCTAAAACTTGTTTAATTTTGGGAAATATGATTTATGACCATTGTAAAATGTCACCAACAGTAATATTCACGCAGCACTCGTGCAGTTGAATATCTTTCTCTTTAACTTCTGACATGGTAGCTGGTTATAATCTAGCCACTTGTGCCTAATCTTCACGTGAGCGTATTTTAGGAAATATTACCAAATACTATTTTACGTGGATAATTTACTTCACAATATGCTTTATCACCCTAGAAATGTAAGAACAAAAAATAAACCTGCTGTTATATTTTAAACCCAAGTAAATAATGCAAGCTATGCTAAGTGAAATTTCATATAAATAGAAAACTCAGGCACAAACTGTGACAGAAATGATATAATGTTTGAGGCTTATTAAATTTTTCTTCTTTACTAAATCTGTTACAAAGTGTATGATACCAAACTTTAAATACTTCGTAATTAGTAAATTAATCAACATTGTCACCAAAACAACTTACTTTTATTTTCAACAGCAGAGTGATCCTTCACGTATTTCTTGAATTTAAGAAACCCATTACTGACCTTGCGAAAAACACACACACACACACCATAGATCCGTTTCTGCAGTTAATTATTAACGTATTATCTTATTATTTAAATATATTTTTCTATAATTCTGTTTTAATAAAATACTAAATGAACGTATATTTCAAGTTTTTCAAGAACGTGAGCAAAACATCATTAAAATATATACAAATGGTCTTTTATTTACTTGTATTAAAAGCTTATATGCATACATACTGGAATAAAAATTCAAGAGTCAAGAAAATATGTCCGATTAAATAAGTAAAGCCATACTGAAAAGCCATCGTTACTTAAAATATCAAAGTACATTAGAAGACACACGAAAACAAATCAGAAGTTTTAAGTTTTAGGTAATACATTCAGCCATAAGATCACAGTACAAAAAAAAAGGATTAAATGATTGTTTTTAAATAAATGTAAGTTCAGATACATTTTAATAAATTTTGAAGTAATAAACAATTTTGGAAATTATATGTAAACATTAGAATTGCCTATTATTTTGTACTTAAAAAAAACAAAAAACTTTACAGTGACGCTATAAAACGCATGTTCTTTAAACCTATGACTGACAGCCTACATACAGAAGCACACTACTCGAAACAGTTAAAGGTTAATAGGAACTTTTAATGTTATATTTATTAACAGGCAAAACCACTTTTATAAAAATCACCACTCTCCTCAGCTAATTTTCATGCAAATAAGGTACCAGATGTCCGATCATATGATCTAAAATATAAAGGACTGGTCATTTCGTAAATGCCCAATTTGAATTTATGTTTTTTCCGTCCTTACAGTTCATGACATTTCTCTTCGATACGGAATACGATTACCAAAAATAACAAGAGCAACGTGGTATTAATTTTGTGTGTCTAAAATCAGAGAGATGATACAATTCTGATTTATCTCTGGCCACTGTTTTGAAAATTAATGTTTTCATGTCATCTTTAGTGTTTGGAGTCACTTGATGGGATTTATGCGTCTCACAAGAGCATTTTTACATGCCTGCTGGGATATAAGTTTGTTGAGCATGAAAGTCATTTCATTTCGTCAATTTCTTCTTCTTCTCAGAATGAGTCAACCTGCTTGAAATGATGGAGTGGGCGTTTCCACCCATTAGGATGAAATCAAGACTAATTGCATCAGCACTTAGCAGCATAAAGGGTCGTAGCTGTAGTCCCTATGAAGTATGACATATGTCGTACCATTCTACTGGATATAGACGTTTGTGAGATCAACAATGCTTATTCCTGTTCACACCATACCCCCACCAATATGATATGCATCATGTTCCTCTTTAAAAATTGGAACGACATAGCTTCAAGTCCTTTCTAAATAATATTTGGCTGCAGGGTGAAAAGCGACTCATCGGCAAAAATTGATCCTCATGTTTTTAATGCACTAGATGTGTTCTTGGAACCATTATAGGTGAGGTGTTTTGTGTTTTCCTAAG